CGACAGGACAGCTTGGAGCAGCGATGTCTCTTCACCCATCCCTTCACTAAATCAGCCCTGGGTGGAACCCCCCCCCCTCTCCCACCTCTCCCTTCAGCTGTCCTTCCGTCCCCGCCCAGCAGAGACTTGGCACAGATCCAGCAGCGGAGTTGGCAACTTGGGTTCCTTCTGTCCTCTCTTTCCCAGCGAATGCTGAGTTTCTCGGGGGGAAGGAGGGGGATCAGCTCGGCGGCTGGCACGGCCGACGTTCGCCCGATGGCAGTGGAATCCCCCCCGGCGACTCCATGGGGTGAGCGGGAGGGCTGCTGCAAGGGCGTGTTCTGCTCTCCACCAGCTCACGCACCCCAGTCTGGCGGCTTTATAGGAAACCTTCTTTCCGGAACTGCTCTTGAAGGATGTCTCTGTACTCGTCGAAGCCGCCCTCGATGCGCTGGACTGTGCCGTTGCCGCACACCCACAGCTCCTTGCACACCAGCCGGATGAACCGCTCGTCGTGCGAAACCAGGATCAAGCCGCCCTAAAGCAAGAGGGGGGGAAGGAGCCTCACATTACAACCGGGGAGAGTGCAGGCCACAAGGCCAGCTGTTCCCGCACGACAACCTTCTTGCCATTTAGCTTTTAATATGATAAAAACCCTTTGGTGCTCTCTGAGCTTGGTTGATTTCTTGCAGATGTTTTGATACCATGGGTGGGATTCTACCTGTTCGGACCGGTTCAAGTGAACTAGTAGCTCTGCCGGTCAGATGGCATTGAACACATGCAAAGCACACACTCACCAAATCGGTTGTTTAACCGGCAGCATTCCACCACTGTTCGATACCTAAACTGGGTATCATCTGTTAACGTAACACTGATGATGTTATCTAGTTTGGGTAATGAAATGTCTGCAAGAAAACAGCTAGGCTAGAGATCACCTCATTTCAACCTTGCGCTACAAATATTCTCCTTTAGCAATAGCACTTAGAACCATGGTAGTGCAGTGGTTAGAGTGCAGTACTGCAGGCTACTTCAGCTGACTGCTAGCTAGCTGCAGTTCGGCAGTTCAAATCTCACCGGCTCAAGGTTGACTCAGCCTTCCATCCTTCCGAGGTCGGTAAAATGAGGACAGAGATTGTTGGCCGGGGTGGGTGGGTGGGGGCTATAAACTGCTTAGAGAGGGCTGTAAAAGCACTATGAAGTGGTATATAAATCTAAGTGCTATTGCTATATACCGCTTCATAGTACTTTACAGCACTACGTTTTACAGCAGGGATGTCAAACTCGATTTCATTGAGGGTTGCATCAGGATTGTGTTTGACCTTGGGGGCCTGGGTGGGTATGGCCTGGGTGGGCGTGGCCAGCTCAACTTCACTCCTGTTGGGGATGCCTTTGGTGACCCGAGAGCTCTGCTAGCAAAAACAGTCTCCCGAACCCTGTTTTCGGGTGCAATGGCCTCGTGCAACCCTCTGCCAGCAAAAACGGAGCTCGGCAACATTAACATGCAAAGTCAAGTCTGCGGACTTACCCGGAATTTGTTGAGTGCTTTTGCTAGAGCTTCAATGGTTTCCATGTCCAGGTGGTTTGTTGGTTCATCCAGTATGTAGAAGTTGGGGCTACAAGAGGGGGGAAGGGGAGAAATGCAATTACAGCATAGGCAATTCTTGATTTACCACTTTGAGGCTGGAATGATCACCATCATTCCATCATGTTGGTCATTAAGTGAGACATTCCCAAGGCCCTGCCTGATTTTTTTTTTAATTAAATTTTTTTTTTAATTTTTAATTTAAAACAAATACAACATCTTTCTTTACACGCTATAGAAAGTGTGTCAGTCGGTCACAAATAAACTTTCGTGCATCTCCTCCACAGTCAACAAACATAACTCATGTTAACGCGAGCATTTTAACTCAAATATTCATACATATCACCATCATCATATATCCATTTTCATTTGACTATAATTATTATTAAAAAATAATACTAATAATAATCTTAAACAATACATGCCCACACCAGTGGGAAAAGAAAAAATCAAAAAAAGAAAAAAGAAAAAAAAAAGACAAAAAGAACAAAAGACAAGGCAGGGAAGA